CTAAGCTGCAAGGAAATTAAAATGAAAGTAAAATAAACTAATGAGAGATAGGGATTTAAGAGATATAAAGAGAGGTCTTAGGGTGTTGGAATCATCACTAAGCTCATGTAATTAGCCATTTGCTATCCATTAATGGGGAATACATTGTTGTGAACAAAATGCGACTATAAATTGCAATATTAAGCATGGACCATCAAAATCATGTATGAATTGTCTACTTAAACTAAGTGTAGCACAACCCATCAATTCTAAGCATTACCCATCAAATTAGTCACAATTGTAGCACACATTAATATAGAGAATCATAAAATTTTGCAATAATAAGCCGTGGAATATCAAATCAAGTATAGATTGTCTACCTATGTACAAGCATGAATTAAATTGTAGAATAACCTATCAAGTGTAAGAATAATCCATCAAATTAATTAATAAACCCATTCAATGAAAACCCATGTCTAGCCATCACTAGATTTTCAATCAACCACACATAGATATGCAATTAATATAGAAAAACTAGTATAAAGATCAAATCCCAAATAATCGCACATAAGACAATATGTAATTACAAAGAGAATCAATAGGAAGAATTAAACCATATGAATCATGTGACACATAATTCCCAATTTAATCACACATAGACATGTAAATAAACTAAAGAATTAATAGGAAGAATTAAACCATAGAAATGATATAAATACACCAAGATTCATGAAATTCACAAGGCTAGAACACTAAACACAACAATATATATAAATCCCCAAAAATAGAAATACAAGGGTTTAGATTACACAAGACTTAGGGCTCATCCAAACCCTAAGTGTAGATCTAGCCAATCATAGAGGAGGTGGATGTGGTCATGAAACCCTCAAGGGTAAGCTCCAAACATGGCTCCATCTTCTTCTTCTTCTTCTTTGAAGCTCTATAGAGAGAGGGAGAGAGAGAGTGAGTGAATCTAGAGATGGATCTTGAGATGTGCCTCCACTTCCTTCTTTTCTTCTAACCCTAATCTCTAACCTTCTAAAGAGAGAAAAAAAAAAATTACAATGTAAAGAGTATGAATCTCCCCACAAAAATGATTGAATTCCTCTTATATACAAGGCTTTGGGAGCCCAAAAATGTGAGAACTCGGCTCTAGAATCGCCCCTTTGAAGCTCTGCCCGAGTTGGTTCGAAATGAGATTCAAATATGCTTTTTAATAACTTTCGTGAACAGTTCGATCGATCAGAGTCTGATCGATCTCACTTTTCTCAAATTGATCTCACTTTTCTGTGATCTATCTCACTTGGAAGATTTTCAGCATCAGTCTCCTTTTGCTCCAAATCAGCCTTATTTTGCTCCAAATCCTCATTAACACTTAGTTTGACTCCAAAAAAGCCTTAGGAAGCCATTTTTAGCTCGTTTTAGCTTTATTGACCTAAAAAGGGAAATAACACAAAATTAGTCTAAAACGGAAAAATAAGATAGATAAAGGTCCTAGAACACTCAAACTTAAGGGGTTTAAATGCGCACTTTTCAGCGCTCATCACACCCCCAAACTTAAATATTGCTAGTCCCTAGCAATGAACTACAAAGTAAAGAAATGAAATGAGCAATTAAACAACTATAACTAGAAAATAATAAAAGGATAACGCCACTTTCGTAGGGAACACGATTGCATTTAGCATATGCAACAAGCCTTTTAAACTCCTAGGTTACCCCTAGTGGACGAGTAAATCTCGTGAGGGTTTCCAGAAATGATACCCACAAACATTAAGCTCATTCTCACAAAAGAGGTACTATTATTGCAAACAAGTATTAGGAGAAAACTACCTCAAGTATGCAATTTTTCAACCCTTTCCAAGTAATCTTCCAAAATCTCAACATCAAGCAAGCAAGTATGATCCTCCACACATCAAGAAAATGATCATGCAAATCGAAACAACTTTAGAATCATTTTTGAGTGAACCGGCATCATATATGTTGCTATCTAAGCCAACTAATGAAATAATCACATCCTTACCTTCAAACTAGCACACAAATCTAGTACCGATCATTAAGATAAAAAGTGGACCTTTTATTAAAGCTTTATTGTTCTAAGTGCGCTTATTCTTTTCACTCGATTTTTTTTATATTTTTATATTTTTTATTTTTTTTTAAGGATCAAAGATGGAAGCATGGTGCAATGTGTTGATCTATTAAGCTTTCTAGTGATCCATGAGGTCGAGCGTTAGGTCAATGACTCCCAAACTGAACGGCTTTAGGGCATTAGGTGTTTAAATACCCCTACGGACTTACAAGTTCAAATTAACTAGGCTACAAATCAAGACAACCTCCATCTAATCATTTCCTACTTCTCACCTTTTGAAAGAAGTCCTCACTTTTTATTGCTTTTGCAACTTTTTCTCTTTTTATTTTTATTTTTTTATATTCAATTATTAACCTAAAGTTTGGGCTCTCCACCTTTCGGCGCGAGAAATTCAATGCTTGATGAGGCTAGAATCCCGGTTACTTAGTGAAAAAGGGTTGTTATCCACCTTTATAAAGAATGAAAAGTTTCAATGCACTACTAGCTTAATTGGGATATAACCAATTCAATAATCAACAAAGCATGTACCCCACAAATGAATGCTAGTGTGCGCATATGCTAGTGTAGAATCCTAGAGTGAATCTCAAAACAATCACACATAAGACAACATGTAATTACAAAGAGAATCAATAGGAAGAATTAAACCATATGAATCATGTAAGACATAATTCATAATTTAATCACACATAGACATGTAAATAAACTAGATAATTAATAGGAAGAATTAAACCATAGAAATTATAGAAATACACCAAGATTCATGAAATTCACAAGGTTAGAATACTAATCACAATAATATATATAAATCCCCAAAAATAAAAATACAACGGTTTAGATTACACAAGACTTAGGGCTCATCCAAGCCCTAAGTGTAGATCTAGCCAATTATGGAGGAGGTGGATGTGGTCATGAGACCCTCAAGGGTAAGGTCCAAACATGGGTCCATCTTCATCTTCTTCTTTTTTGAAACTCTAGAGATAGAGAGAGTATGGATCTAGAGGTGGATCTTGAGATATGCCTCCACTTCCTTCTTATCTTCTAACCCTAATCTCTAACCTTCTAGAGAGAGAAAATAAAAATTACAATGTAAAGAATATGAATCTCCCCAAAAAAATGGTTGAATCACTCTTATATACAAGGCTTTGGGAGCTCAAAAATATGAGAACTCGGCTCTAGAATCGCCCCTTTGAAGCTCTGCCCTAGTTGGTTCGAAATGAGATTCAGATCTGCTTTTTAATAACTTTCGCGAACAGTTTGATCGATCAGAGTTTGATCGATCTCACTTTTCTCAGATCGATCTCACTTTTTTGTGATCTAACTCACTTGGCAGATTTTCAGCATCAGTCTTCTTTTGCTCCAAATTAGTCTCCTTTTGCTCCAAATCCTCACTAACACTTAGTTTGACTCCAAAAAGGCCTTAGGAAACCATTTTTAGCTCGTTTTAGATTTATTGACCTAAAAAGGGAAATAACACGAAATTAATCTAAAACGAAAAAATAAGATAGATAAAGGTCCTAGAACACTCAAACTTGAGGGGTTTAAATGCACACTTTTCAGCGCTCATCAGGTCTGTTATTGAGGATGCCAAAAACTGCATGGCCGGATATGACCCGCGAGAAGAGCATTGGGTCGGGTAGTAGATCTTGGTCCATACCAAAACTTTGTAAGACAAGCACAAAATTGAAGATCCGTGGAATAAAGCTAGGCCCAAGAAGAGAAGGCCCGAAGATGGGGGCCTAGCATGAGAAGTCAGTTAGGAAACTCCTAGAAGACCTGTAACCGTCTATAAATAGATAAAAAATAGAGGGAAAAAAGGGAGAAAAATCTTGAAGTATAAGGGTAACTTTTAAAAAATATAGATGAGAAATTTCTTGCATTTTCAATGGCGCCGTCCATGGGAATCGATGAAGATTGACTTGATCAAAATTCATTCGTGAAGTAGAAGCTTGATTTCAGAAGGTGGAATTCAGATTGGTGAGACTTTGATCTGCGAGATCCTGATCTGGACTCAGTAGAATTTTTGATTTAGTTGATCTTTGGAGTTAGATCTGTGTAGTTGTAATCTGGCCCGCACAGCTAGATTTGCTGAATCCACAGCAAGAATGATTCAGATCCGGTTAAAAGAAATCGGAATTCAGCTATCTCAGAATCAGATCTGGTGTATTTGTGTAAGCAGAGGTCAGATCTGATCAAGATTCTACAGTTAATGACTCTACTACAATCAGGAACCATGATTGGAGGTGAGAATTCCAATTTGTAGGCAAATGACCAACAGACGAAGCTTGATGAGTTGATGAACATGATTGAAGCTCTCAGAAGAGAGAATGCAGAGTTAAGAGCTGGAATGTAGCGTCAAGAAGTTTCGGCGATTTTGCGACCCCTTCCGGCAAGCGCAGAAGGTATGCAACCCGATGTTGCACACCAAGGTGAGCAAAAAGGGAACAATCACATGGATCTTCGCTGCGAGGAGGCCAAGCCAGATGATTTTCCGCCAAATGCTCGCCGCGTGGAAGATCGTGAGGGATCAATTCACCTGGATCCGTGGCACGAAAAGATCATACGGAACGAAGCCATGACTTTTGATCCATATTAAGAAAGGCACAATCGAGAAGAAGCTGTGGAGTTTGGTCAGCATAAAGCTACACCGCTCTGGCAGAAAGAGTCAACGGAGGAAAGATCGCTTAATCCGCCTTACCGGCCTTCAATGGCCACGTACGATTATGGAAGTTCAGAGTAGAGATCTGCAGATCAAAGAATTGTTACAAGGTTCCAAAGGGAGAATGCGGCCCTCCGATCAGTAGCTCGGACGGTTGATTCGCCAGCCATCGATGAGATCCTGAATGCTCCGAGTCCGAGGAAATTCTCCATGCCTATTTTCATCTTGTTCGATAGAACGACCAATCCAATTGATCATGTATATCACATTCAGTTGAAAATGGCTCTAAATATAGAGAATGATCCCCTGATGTGTAAATGTTTTCCTATAAGCCTATCTGGACCAGCACTCAACTGGTTCAAGAACCTGCCGAGGGGCTCAGTGGACAGTTTCCGAAGCTTGTGCGATCGGTTCATAAGCCAATACTATGGGAATAAGCGCCCGGCCAAGGATATCTCGAGTCTTTTCACAATGAAGCAGTATGAAGACGAGTGTCTCCAAGCTTTTCTTACTAGGTTCAACCTTACTAAGAGCATGGTGATTGAGTGCCATCCTTTCACAGTGGTCCAAGCGTTCAAGCTAGCAATGAATCGTGGTACACCATTTCACGCGAGCTTGGTGGTGAACACACTGAAGACTATGGATGAGTTGAATGAAAGAGCTGATGGATTTGTGTGTTTGGAAGAGGAAGAAGCAGCTAACGCTCGGAAAACCTCCATAATATCAACGGAGGAGGAGACCAAAGCCAAGATCCGTCAAAAACATGCTCCACCACAGAGACAGACCTCTTGGAAGGCAGAGAAGAGGCCTAGAGAAGAAGAGCTCATCACTCTACTAAAAGTTACTCTGGCAAGGCTATATCAAGAAAACAAAGATAAGTTTCGCTCTCTCTTGCCAATTAGACAACCTCTCGAGCAGAGAGATCAGTCTAAACATTGAGCTTTTCACAGTGATTTTGGTCATTAGACTAATGAATGCAGGAACTTAAGGAGGCAGGTGGAGATGCTGATAGCAAGAGGAGAATTTGCGGGATATATTCAAGGGCCGGCGGTGAAGCAGACCGATTGGTAGCGCAAGTGAAAAGGAGTCAAAAGTCGAGCTCCCACAACGCACAACCAGTTCAGATAATAAATGCAATTCACTGTCGATCTGAGTCAAGCGAGGAGTCAGATGAATTGCTCCGGACTCGCCTTCACCAAGCACAAATGAAGAGGAGGATAGGAAGTGTGAATGCTCTGCACTAGCAGAATGCATCAACGCAGATAAAGTTTGACAGAACGGATCTGTTGCATATTCAGACACCACATGAAGATCCATTAGTTGTCAGCTTGACAGTGGCGGAATCTTTAGCATGCAGAGTTCTGATTGATCCTGGAAGCAGTGCAAACATCATGCCAAGAATTACGTTCGATCGACTCGAGATTAAACCAGAGAAGCTTAAGCCGACCAGGAATCCATTGCTAGGATTTGATGGAAAATGGGTGGACCCCATTGGCATGGTAGAAGTAACAGTGCAAGCCACTGAAAGAGTTTTGACTGAGAGCTTTGTGGTCATTGAAATCCACCCATCTTATAACCTCCTGATGGGAAGAGGTTGGATTCACAGAGTCCAAGGTGTTCCATCAACTCTGCATCAAGTGATGAGGTGCCTGGGACCAGACAGAACAAAGGTGATAGATATTCATGGGGGCTAGGTTGTAGCCAAAGAATGTTATTATGTTACCTTGAAGTCTGCTGGAAAAGGAAAAGCTCCCATCCGATCTGCGAGCCCAAAATAGCATTTACAAGAGCCTCCTCCCAATAAGAATGGGGAGGAGGGACCTTTGGTCTTGACCGAAGAACCTCTTGTTGAAGTACAGATCAACCATGATAAACCAGATCAAACCATAAGAGTGGGAACTAGAATTGTTGAGGGGGAGAAGCAAGAGTTGATTGATTTCTTGTCTTAGAACGCAGATGTGTTTGCATGGAGCCATTCAGACATGCCATGAATCAATCCTTCTGTGTCCTATCATTCCCTAAATGTAAATTCGAACGCAAAACCTATAAGGCAGAAGCAGAGAAGGTTTGCCCCAGAGCGTAATCAAATCATAGCTGAAGAGATTGACCGGTTGCTTGATGCAGGATTCATCAGAGAGGTGCAGTACCCGGATTGGCTCTCGAATGTCATTGTTATGCAAAAGAAGAATGGGAAATGGTGAGTATGTATTGACTTCACCAATCTAAACAAAGTTTACCCGAAGGATAGTTTCCCTTTGCCGAAGATTCATCAAATGGTGGATGCCACTACAGGATTTGAACAGTTGACCTTCCTGGATGTTTACTCAGGTAATAATCAAATACCCATGGATCCAAATGATGAAGAGAAAACTTCATTTGTTACTGAATAGGGAACCTACTGCTACAAAGTCATGCCGCTCGGACTAAAGAAAGTAGGAGCTACCTATCAAAGGCTGATCAACAAGATTTTCAAAAATCAAATGGGGAAAATTGTAGAATCATACATCGATGATATGGTGGTGAAAAGTAAGAAGAAAGCTGAGCACCTGGAGCATTTGAGGGATGTATTTGGTGTATTGAAGAGTTATGGAATGAAGCTTAATCGAACCAAATACTCGTTCGGCGTAAGCTCTGGCCAATTCTTGGGGCACGTGGTCAATCATAGAGGAATTGAGGCTGCCCTCACAGGCCGGATAGCTGCGTTAAGTAGATTCATTTCTAAACTGTCGGATCGTTGTAAGCCATTCTTTGAAACAATACGAGGTCATGGAAGACAAACCTGGGGGGATACACAACGACAAGCGAGAAGCTTTTTGTGTACCTTGGAGTGTCCAGCATTGTGACAAGTGCCGTTCTAATCCATTATAAAGAAAGAAAACAATTCTCAGTGTTCTATGTTAGCAAAACAATGACCGAGCCCGAACAAAGATATTCAAAAGCCGAATGAGTGATACTCTCGCTAGTAAATACAAAAAGGAAGCTCGGGCATTATTTTGAGTCCCATCCTATCGTCGTTCTGACCACCTTTCCTATAAAGGTAATCCTGCATAAGCCAGATCTGTCAGGGAGGATGACAAAGTGGCCCATAGAGTTAAGCTCGTTTGACATAACATACGAACCCATAACGGCTATTAAAGGGCAAGCAGTGGCTGATTTCTTACTAGAATGTGACACGAAAGATACGGAGGAGGACCTTCGGGGTTGTTCATGGATGCTCTTTGTAGACGGCTCCTCGAATTAGATGGGGGCAGGCATTGGGATCAAACTGTAGACGCCAGAAGGCACATCCCTAAGTCATGCACTCAGATTCGAGTTCAGAGCCACCAATAATGAAGTAGAATATGAAGCGTTGTTGACTGGACTCAAGTTAGCTAAAAAACAGAAGGTCAAGAACTTAGTTGTTTTTAGTGATTCGCAACTGATTATTCGGCAAGTGAATGAGGAGTACGAAACCAAAGATAAAACAATGGAGGCATACCGTTCTACCGTCATACGCGAAGCTAAAGACTTTGATAAAATAGAGTTCATCCAGTTGCCGAGAGAGCATAACGAGGATACCGGTAGGTTAGTATGCAGTGCGTCAAGTTCTGGAGAAATACTGGCAAGGGTAATCCTAGTGGGTGCATTGTGTCAGCCATCTATCTTTGAAAAACCATCAGGCTCGAACCCTTGGCAAGTGAATGTCATACCATACGAGCCAAGCTAAATAGATCCGATCGTAACTTATATACGGGATGGCGTTCTACCAGAACAAAGAGATGAACCTAGGAAAATCTGAACGAATGCTGCAAAGTACGCCATAGTGCATAACTAGTTATATAGAAGATCTTACTCCGGACCGTACCTGAAGTGCGTTACCCCCACAGAAGCTCGGCAGATATTGCGGACTATTCATGAAGGCGTATGTGGAAATCATTCAGGGGGAAGATCTTTAGTGTACAAAGCAATGACGCGAGGGTATTTTTGGCTGAACATGTCGCGAGATGCAAAAGAATTCTCCAGAAGATGCGATAAATGCCAAAGGTTCGAACCACTTATCCACCAACCACTTGAAAACTTGCACGTAATGGCCACACCATGGCCTTTCGTGCAATGGGGGATGGATGTGGTTGGCCCTTTGCCGACCGCAAGATCGTAAAAGAAGTACGTTCTGCTAACAACAGATTACTTTACCAAGTGGGTGGAAGCAGAACTGTATCCAAGTGTGACCCAAACTCATATGAGACACTTTATCTAGAGCAATATTATTAGTCATTTTGGTGTTCCAAGGTCGATCATCATGGACAATAAGACTAATTTTGACAGCAAATAAGTAAGAGAGTTGCTAGAAAAGTATGGAATTAACCAAAAATTGGTAGTAGTTAGCCATCCACAGGCAAATGGTCAAGTTGAGATCACAAACAGAACGATCTTTGCTTGTATTAAGAAGAAGCTCGAGGATCAGAAAAAGGAAATGGTTAGACGAACTTCCGAACGTTTTGTGGGCTTACAGAACGACACCGAGACGGCCGACCGGGGAAAGCCCATTCGCCATGGCATATGGCACCAAGGCAGTCATACCGGTCGAGTACTTAGTCCCAACTATTCGAAGCTTAACGTGGAATCAAAAGTAGAATGACAAAATGTTGAGATTTAACCTTGATATGTTGGAGGAAAAAAGAGATGCCGCGGCAATAAGGCTCGCGTCCTATCAACAGATACTCGTGAATAGCCACAACAAAAGGCTGAAGCATAAAGACTTCGCCCATGGTGACCTGGTTCTAAAAAAGAAGGTGGGGCCCATATAGAATTGCAGAAGTCATAGGAAAGGGGGCATACGTTCCGGAGACCATAGCTGGAAGGTTGGTAAACAAGTCGTGGAACGCTACATCTCTGAAAAGGTATTACCAATAAAAGATTAAGTTGTGCTTCGAGTAACGTCCATTTCCAATTATGTACTTACGAGTGTATAAAATTTCTTAAAAAATCTATGAAAAATACTACCTCCTTTCAAAAAGTTGATTAAGCAAAGGAATCTTTGCAAAGTAAGTGGCAGCCGACACTATGAACCGAACGCCAGAAACTTGCCAAAAATAAAAGTGAAAATGACAAGTGGCATTCTAGCCGAGTGCCAAACACTTAGCAAAGTAAGTGGCAGCTGACACTATGACCCGAACGCCAAAAACTTGCCAAAAATAAAAGTGAAAGTGGCAAGTGGCATTCTAGCCGAGCACCAAACACTTGGCAAAGTAAGTGGCAGCTGTCACTATAAGCCGAACGCAAAAAACTTGCCAAAAATAAAAGTGAAAGTGGCAAGTGGTATTCTAGCCGAGCGCCAAAAACTTAGCAAAGTAAATGGCACCTGGCACTGTGAGCCGAACGCCAAAAACTTGCCAAAAATAAAAGTGAAAGTGGCAAGTGGCATTCTAGCCGAGCGCCAAACACTTAACAAAGTAAGTAGCAGCTGGTACTATGAGCCGAATCCCAAAAATAAAAGTGAAAGTGGCAAGTGGCATTCTAGCCGAGCGCCAAACACTTAGCAAAGTAAGTGGCAGACACTATGAGCCGAACGCCAAAAACTTGCCAAAAATAAAAGTGAAAGTGGCAAGTAGCATTCTAGCCGAGCGCCAAACACTTAGCAAAGTAAGTGGCACCTGGCACTGTGAGCCGAACGCCAAAAACTTGCCAAAAATGAAATCAATTGCTATTGCCGAACGTCAAAACTTGCCAAAAATGAAATCAATTGCTATCGCTGGTGCACAGATAAAAGCAATAAAAAATTATTAGAAAGTTTGGATAAGATTGAGTAAAAAATCATTCATTTCATTCATTAAGGGCTTTAGAATTACAAAGGCAAAATATACGAATGAAATGAATAAAGAGAAGGAAATTGAGGCATTAGGAGGATTCTATCTAGTGACATCTGCTCTATCAGCCTTTTAATTGCATTGAATAGCTTCTTCATTGTCATTGGTCATCCCATCTCCACGAGGAGGAGAATCAAGTTGACTAACAGACTCGTTTTGCTGAACTCTATCCTCAGTAGCAGTTGTAGAGGGAACCACGGTACATAAGGGAGGAATGTCCAGAGGCCGAATAGAAGAAGGAATAGGGATGACCCCGGATGATGCAATCTCCTGGCATTCATCAAATATGAGCTCAGCAAAAGTGAAGTCTGGGTTAGCATAGACTCTAGGGGGATCAATTTCTAGCTCCTTGTCAATGTCATCCGAACTAGAACCGGTCTGACCTTCAGCAGGAAGATGGCCAGTGTACCCTTCCCTGTACCCCTCGGCATACTTGAGGGCACCGATCCGGGAGAAGCGACCATGCAGAGTCGTTACTCCACCATTAACCTTGCCAATAATGTCGAGCAAGGCATTGCGTTTATCCAAGGCTCTTTTTTCAAAAGCTATTCGCGTAGCCTGCTCGTCACCCAGCAGGCGTTGAATTTTTCCCTTCTCAACTCTGAGCGTTTTACGCTCGGTCTGCCAGACACTCTTCTCGATCTAAAGAACGTCCTTCTCATCCTGAAGGGAGTCAGCTTCTTTCTTCAGAATGTCCCTTTCGCTTTCAACTGTGTTCAGCTTCACCATCAGCTCAGCATTCTGGGTGCTAATGATCTTATTCTCCTTGTTGGTTGTGTCAAGACTGTTGGCAAACTTGCGCACCTTAGCATTGCACAACTCAATTTGCTTCTGCATGGTCATCATGCTGAATAAGGTCTGCAAGGCGATGCGCGAATATTAATTAAGCCGAACGTAAATTCAGAAGAATTAAGGTATGAAGGCTGTCTTAAATTAACTGGCTGAGGGATAGAAAACTACCTCAATTACAGCCAGAGGAAAGCAGCTAAACACCTCCTTCTGAGATAAACATTTGGCCATCTCAATGTCCTTAGGGGACCACAAGTTCTTGTAATATACCATAGCGGTGGGGCCATCCATGAACATGGTCTTATTTGATTTAATAGTTGAGCCATCTGCTTGGGCAAATTGGGGAGTCCATAACACCACTCCAGAGGGAGAGGCATTGGCTATACCATACCCAGAGGGAGCAGGTGGTCTGGTTTGGGGAGGCATGGGGCCGTTCGGCCCGGAAGCCCGAGCCCTTCTTACTAGAAGGATGTCATCAGGACTTGGAGCACTGTCAGGCTGGGGCCTCTTCCCTCGCTCTCTATCCTGAACGGATACAATGGCAGAAGGGTTGTTGGATTGGGAAATGGTGTTCGTGTTGACAGCTGAGGCATTAACGGTAGGGTTAGCAGCCACAACGTATGGAGTGGTGCTAGAGGTAATGGCAGAAGAGGATGTTGAGACTGGAGAAGAAGCTGTGGCAGTGGCAGCAACGGTC